TATACATATGTATATATATTGATACATACATACATATATATATATATATATATGTATAATATACATTCTACCTGTATATATATATACACAAAAACATAATGTATATGTATACATGTATATGTATATGCATATATATGTATATGTATGTACATATATAAATATATATATATATATATATATATATATATATGTATACATATGTATATGCATACATATGTATATGGATATGTATATGTATGTATGTATGTATAAATATTTCAGCTTTCGATTGCTGATATGGTAGTATTCGTGGTGTTTATCGGTCGTACCTTCTGTGGTTGTCTTGACATGTATTGATTTAATAGCTATGTAATAGATCCTTCACCTGTGACTGGTGCACAAAAATTGCACCCGTACTCCCTTTTTATTGATCCTGTACCCCCGGTTTTTGGCAATACACAATGCACTAACTGAATTGGATGAGAACGTTTTCAGCAACATGCCCAACCTGAAGAAAATTGTGCTTGATCAAAACAAGATTACCGGTATGTTATTGATTGTACCAGTCGCGTACAGGTTATCATGTGCGTTCGTTCAATCCTTTACTACACATTATTTTATCCAGCATAATAGTTCTCGCTATTTTACAATGTAAAAAGTAGCATTCGAAGCGTACGTATATACGGAGGCATGTAGTACATACAAGGCACGTCGTATGAGGCATGCTTGGTTAGTATTGAAATCTAAAAGGGTACTTTCCAGCTCGACAATCTTTAACCAATTGACGAAATACAAAAGCGTATAAATCGAGGTCATATATCAAGACACGCACACAGATAAGCTTATACACTGATGTACTGTACTTCTAAGTAACCAACTACTTGCACAACGACATACACTGATAGTTTAGCCCATCAACCTATTTGATGGAAGGGTTCAATCGAAACCCAACCTCTCATGCGCGTGCACACATCCCACTCTCTCATATACCTCATGTACAGATACGTACATCATAATTCTACACCCCTGCACACCCCCACCAAATATGCCTGGTTAGAAATAATGTACACTCACAAATTTTGTCACAAACGCCTGTAGCCCTGCTGATCAATCTCTTTGGCGGCAATCCCAAGATGGAGGAAATTTTAGCTGGAAGCACAGCCATCACCAAACTAGAAAAGAGACTGTTTGATGGCCTCCCTAAGTTGGAGGCTCTTTACTTATCGAATGGTATAGGTATACTCGCGGAGATTGATGCAGGCACCTTCGACAACAACACCGAAGGTACTAAGTTGGTATTCTTCCAGGTATGGCATTATATATATAGGCATACTTAGTTATCAAAGAGATTCGTTTTGTGGTACGTGAATGTTACCTGGCCGGAGCAATCTAGAGTTATATACATGGCTGCCCAAGGGTTGAATGAATCCATGGACAGTTGTGGTTTAGCGCCATTTTATCAAGCACACCGCATGGCACATTCAAACCAAATTTACCTGAAACGAACAATACCAACGATACACTCATATACGCTTTATCTATATTTAAAATGTACGCTTTACTTATATGCGTCGATCTGGGCAGTTCGCATGTGTACTTCAATTATAAAGTAGAGAAGTAAAAAATTAATCAAGCAGCGGTCGGTTTTGATCCGACGTCCTCGAGGTTATGGGCCTCGCGCGCTCCCTCTGCGCCACGCTGCTGTCAAACTGAACTGTTTGAGATGTTTATTGCTGGAATATTTAAAAATATATTCATAGAAAACAATTGTGTTGTAATCGCTCCTGTTTTGACGACCCAATCCGCACCTTGAATCATGCCCATTGCGTTCTCTATCCGTTTTCTGCATAGCGTATTCTTGTGTTCGTCTACTTCTATTGTGCCGAGAACATAACAGGTCCTTTACGTTGCCTGTGTAATCGATGCGCTGGTCTGGTCGCAGCCCTTCTCGGTTCAAAGTGTATTCCGGTGTCATAGATAATGAGATGAGGGAGGTTTACTATGCAATATTTCATTCATTCGTTGATCTCCACTTTTAAAACAGGTGCAACGACTGCACACCCAAGGAGGAGTAGGAACGTATCGAGATTGTATCTCCACTTGAAAGATGAATAAATGGTAGTCTTCAAAATTCGAAGATTCCACTCTGACGTTTGTAGCTGAACTCACTAAGTCACACTACTCTCTGCCTTGTATATATGTATGCTGTGTATTCTATACGATACACACACACACACACACACACACACACATATATATATATGTATATATATATGTATATATATATATGTGTATATATATGTGTATATATGTACATACATACATACATACATA